TTCACGTCCCCTCGTTCTCCCGGAACTTGGTGGGCGTGCGACCCCTCGTGAGTCAGCACGTGGGTGTGTGGTTTGAGCCTTCTGGAGAGACTGCGGTGTGTGTTGACGGGGACTCTTACCAGCCCCTCGCCACTTTTGCTGCTGAGCCGGGCTCCGGTCTCTACACTCTTCACACTGGCCCGCGCGCTCAGCAGCGACTGCAGCAGCAGCAGCAGCAGCAGCAGCCGCAGCCGCAGCCACAGCCACAGCCGCCCCTCCTGCCCCCGGCCCCTGTTTTGCCCCCCGTTCGAGTCCTCGCGTCTCACCAGGTTGCTCCGTCCCCCCAGGTAGCTGTGTCTTGTCAGGTTCCTCCGTCTAGTCCGGTCGCTGCGTCGTGCTCCTGTCGGTCGCTTGCCCACCCCACCGTTTTGTGGCACCACCGGTTGGGGCACCCTTCTCCTCCTCGTCTTCGCGCTATGTCTCGTCAGCGTCTTGTCTTAGGTCTCCCGCGTGTCTTGCCGTCGCTGCCGCCGTCCCTTGCACCACCGTGCGGTCCTTGCGTCGAGGGTAGGCTGCGCGCCACCCCTCACTCCTCCTCCCTTCGTCCGGCCACCGAGCCTTTTGAGACGCTGCACTTGGACGTCTGGGGCCCCTCTCCTCGCCCTGGCCCTGAGCGTGAGCGTTTCTTTTTGGTGGTCGTTGACGACTACTCCCGCTACACCACAGTGTTCCCCCTGGCGAGGAAGTCTGAGGTGACTTCTACGCTGATCAGGTGGTTGCTTACCACCCAGGACACTCGTGGTCGTCGTGTCAGCTGTCTCCACTCCGACCGCGGGGGCGAGTTTCGCTCCGGCATTCTCGCTGGATTCTGTCGCGAACAGGGCATTCGTCAGTCCTGGACGCTTCCGGAGTCCCCACAGCAGAATGGGGTTGCTGAGCGTCGCATAGGCCTGGTCATGGAGATTGCCCGCACCTCCTTGACTCACGCCCGTGCCCCCCATTTCCTGTGGACATACGCGGTCAGGTACGCCGCGCACCAGCTGAACCTCTGGCCACGCGTCTCTCGGCCGGAGGCTTCACCGACCAGTCTTTGGACAGGGTCCCCTGGTGTCGCGTCGAGGTTTCGTGTCTGGGGGTGCTTGGCTCTTGTCCGCGACACCTCCGCGGACAAGCTCTCGCCTCGCGCCGTTCCTTGTGTCTTCCTTGGTTTCCCTGAGGACTCCTCTGACTTCACCTTTTACCACCCTCCCTCTCACCGGTTCTTTGACTCCCGTGACGTCCGTTTCGAGGAGTCCACCCCCTACTACGTCAGGTACCCCAGTCGAGGTCTCCCGGTCCCTCCCCCCCCTCTCTTCCTGACCGCCGCTCCCCCGCCTGCTCCCCCGGTACAGCCTCCCCCCCCTGGTCCAGCCCCGTCTGGTGTGTCTCAGGCTAGCCCTCCCCCTTCGGTAACCACCCCTGTACAGCCTCCCTCCCCACAGTCTTCCTCGCCGCCTCCTGCAGGTGCTCCCTCTCGGGAGGTTGGTCCTGCGACTGTCCCTGTACAGGTCTCTGGTTCTGGGGGTGCTGGAGTTGGAGCTGAGCCGCGGGTTGCAGAGGACTCTTGTCTTCCGGGGGCTGGTACTGGTCGTGCGGAGTCTGGGGGTGCTGGTGCGGAGTCTGGGGGTGCTGCGTCTGGGGGTGAGGGTGTCCCTTCGGTTTCTGGAGAGCCTGGGTCTGGAGCTGGTGTTGGTGCTGCCTCTGGGGGTGGTGTGCTTGGTGCTTCGGAGGTCGACTCTGGGGCTGCCGCTGCCCCGGACACTACTCCTTCCCCCCACCCCTACCCGACCAGGTTCCAGGCTCGTGTTCGCCGTGCTCGTGAGGAGCAGCTGGAGTTGGAGAGAGAGGAGAGAGAGTTGCAGCGGCTCGAGGAGCAGGAGCGACAGCAGCAGGAGCAGCAGCAGGAGCAGCAGCAGGGGCAGCAGCCGCTGGAGCAGCAGCAGCCGCAGCAGCCGCAGCAGCAGCAGCAGCAGCTGCTGCCGTCTCCTCCTCCTGTCTCGGGTCTTCGGACCCTTGGTCTCCCCTCTCCCTCTCCTTCCTCCTCCCCCTCTCCTCCCGTCTCTGGTCCTCCGCTTCCTCCTCCTGACCCCTCTCCCGCTGTTTTCCCTCGTTCTCAGTCTTCGTTGTCTCCTCCTCCTTCTCAGACTTGGGCCTCTCGTCGCTCCCCTCGTGCTCGTCCCTCGTCTCCTGTTCCCTTCACTGACCTTCGTACAGCCTTCCTTTGTTCTCGTCCACCTCGTCCGTCTCCGTCTGTGCTTCCGTCTCCTCCTGAGTCGGCCCTCACTGTGTCGCTTCCTTCTCCTGTCACTGACTACTACCGCACGTACCGTCCTGTTCTCTCTCGTGTTCTCGCCTCTCTTGTTACCCACCCTCGTGCCTCTGTGTCCTCTGTGTCCGCTCTTACTGCCGCAGTCACTGAGTTTGCCTCTACCCGCCGCCTTGACTTCGCCACCGCTCTTGTGGCTGCTCCTCCTTCCAGTCCTCTGGCCGTCGGGGGTGTGTCTGCCCTTGGCTGTGACGCCCTAGAGGACAGGCAGTTTGAGCTAGAGTTCCTGGCGGCCGCTTCCCCTCATCTCTGTGCCATGCTCCTCGCCCCTGAGGGTGACCCCGACGCCCTTGACATTCCGACTCCTCGCACTTACGCTGAGGCAGTGTCAGGGCCTTGGGCCTCTCAGTGGAGAGCTGCCATGGATGCAGAGATGGCCTCCTACAGATCCACAGGCACCTACGTCGATGAGGTTCCCCCTCCGGGGGCGAACGTAGTCGACGGCATGTGGATCTACAGGGTGAAGCGGCCACCGGGATCTCCTCCGGTCTTCAAGGCGCGCTACGTGGCTAGAGGTTTCAGTCAGCGCGAGGGAGTTGACTTCTTTCAGACCTTCGCGCCCACCCCGAAGATGACCACTCTTCGGGTGTTACTACACGTAGCAGCACAGAGAGACTACGAGTTACACTCTCTCGACTTCTCTACTGCTTTCCTTCAGGGCAGTCTTCACGAGGAGGTCTGGTTGCGTCGTCCCTCTGCCTTCACTGGCTCTTTCCCTCCTGGGACCTAGTGGAGGCTGAGGCGACCGGTTTACGGTCTTCGTCAGGCTCCTCGTGAGTGGCACGACACCCTGCGTTCTACCCTGTCTGACCTTGGGTTCCAGCCGTCTTCTGCTGACCCGTCGCTGTTCGTTCGTCGTGGCCCCACACCTTTCTTTGTTCTGGTCTACGTTGACGACCTTGTTTTCGCCACCCCTGACAGGGTTGCTTTGGCACACGTGAAGTCCGAACTGCAGAAGAGACACACCTGCACTGATCTTGGTGAGCTGCGCCACTACCTTGGCCTGCAGATCACCAGGGACAGAGCTGCTCGCACCATTACACTTTCACAGTCACACATGGTGCAGCAGGTCCTTCAGCGGTTCGGGCTTCAGCACTCCACAGTACAGCGCACACCTCTTGCTGTTGACCACAGACTCACTGGACCCTTTCCTGACGAGCCGTTCGAGCCTAGTGGTCCCTACGCAGAGCTTGTGGGTTGCCTCATGTACCTGATGACTTGTACTCGCCCGGACCTCGCCTTCCCTCTCAGCGTTCTTGCGCGCTTTGTTGCGCCAGGGAGACACCGTCCTGTTCACTGGACAGCAGCTGTGAGGGTGGCGAAGTACCTAGCGACGACATCAGGCGTGGGGCTAGTTCTTGGAGGGCAGCAGTCTGTCGTACTTACTGGTCACTGTGACTCCTCTTACGCTGACGACGCTGAGACTCACAGGTCTACTCAGGGGTACTGTTTCAGCCTGGGTTCTGGAGCTGTTTCCTGGCGGTCCACGCGCTCCTCTTCGGTCTCGACCTCTACAGCTGAGGCTGAGATCTACGCTGGTGCCATGGCGGCACAGGAGCTGCGTTGGTTGACCTTCTTGCTCACCGACCTTGGTGAGCGGCCGAGCTCTGCACCGACCTTGTTCACTGACAACAAGGCGTCTATTCTCCTTTGTCGAGAGCCACGACTGGAGAGCAGAGTGAAGCACATTCACGTCAGGTACTTTCTTCTGCGAGAGTTGCAGAGGCGTGGACAGGCTCGCTTTGAGTTTGTGGAGTCCGAGGCCAACACTGCAGACATCTTCACCAAGGCGCTTCCGCCTTGTGACCACCAGAGGTGCTGTGTGCAGTTAGGCCTTGTTGACACTGGTTCTCGTGTTGCTTAGACTTGAGTGTACTGTTTACTTTGCTTTCTATATATCTCTGTTACTTCTTGGACTGGCCTTGTGGCCACTGTTGTTTGTGCTCGGACTGTGTGGTGACGTTGTGATCCACCCTGAGCTTCGTTTCTTGGACTGGTCTTGTGACCGTACTCGTTTGGTTCTGCTAGACACCCCTCACTTAGGCTATGGGGGTGTGTCAAATGTTGTAGCCTATAGTGAGGTTTGTCTTAGGGGGTACAAAACTTAGGGTTAGCTATATGTACCCCAACCAACATCAATGCATCATCCATTCTTCATTTTGACATTCCTTACTATAATCAATCTACTTTGCCCTCACATACCAGCGCAAGGTGGTTCACAATCTTTCGTTAAAGCTTCCGCTACTACAACACTATCCTATCCAGAGTTCTCCCTTGAAAAGATCCTAAGGGGCTATCTCAGCCCAACAATTGCAACTTGCAATATCTAGATCAGTGATCAAGGATATGAGGTTTATTCAAGGGTCCTACCGGTTTGTCTAGCTTAACCTTAACAGGTGCTGGACCCACTGTTTCAAACCAGCAGCCACACCATGAGGAGTCTACAATCTATTTTAGTCTGCCCTTCATTTATTTTTTGCTGTCATACTTGTCACGCCTTCCCTCCCCAGCTTTTGCAGCCAGAGATGTCAGGCAGAATGTTACTACCGCATTCACTTCACAACTGCTCCAGCTGAAAGAGCAACACGGCTGGTTCTCCCTCTCCAACAAATTAGTTAGCAAGCAAGCCCATTGTGCTCATCTGATGCCCGTCATGTCATGTCTCCTTCCAGTCAGCAACGGGCACAAGTGTGCCCCACGATGTTCCCACATGCAGCTTCACTGATAACGGAACTGCTTGGATGACACACAACAGGTGCGCACATGGCAAACAGGGAGAGGAAAAGAACGGCAAGAAAGTTAAGTGAGGTGAAAGGAGGTCATTGCAGCGGCAAGTTCCAATGATAAAAGCTCTGAAACTTGGCATATGGCTCATCCCCTGCCTCTTTCAGTTTACAATACCTGCAAGAGTCATGGCATTTTCCATGCATGTCTGTAGCAGCTCCTTTGCAGGCTGCAGGTAGGGTCGCTCTACCTCCAGCACCAACTCGTCATGAATCTGACACACACACATACACACACACACAAAACCACCACAGGCAGTTACAAAAAAAAAGGAAAAAAAAAAAAGAAAGAAAAAAAAGAAAAAAGGAAAAAAAGACTTGTGGATTATCGGTTTCATAACAAGAGCCAAAGCAGCATGTCACATGCTCTGCCTTGTAAGGTTAAAAAGAGAAGGGAAGAGGGTTGTAGGAGAGGTGGTAAGGACATGAGGCAAGAGGTGGAAAAAAACGGCTCATTGCGGAAGAGAAAGTTACCTGCAAAACCAGCCTGCAGTGGCCTGCAAGGGAGGATGCCCCAGGAGCAGCAACAGGAGGAAGAACGGAGGGGCATTGAACATGGCAGAACTGCTGCTGAGGAGTGAGAATCGAGGATGATGGTTGTGGGAGCACAGCCAGCGCCAGCCCGCTGGTGGATGTTTGGTGACCCGGAATGACTGAGGGTGCAACTGATGAAACCTGTGCTGTTGCTGCTGCTGCTGCGGAGGTTGCTTGTGGAGCTGCAAAATCAGGTGCTGGTGCTGCTGTCACTGGTGGTGATGTGGATGCCAGCGGCTGGGTGAGAGCAGGTGGAGCTATAGCTGACTGAAGACGGACCATGGCCAGTTTAATGAGGTCTGCTGCTGACCCCTGCGGGGAAGAAAGTACAAGGTAGTGAGTAACGAGGCTGCTTCAGAAAGTACATAAGGAGATAGCCTTGGCAAGAAATATAAAAGCGAGAAACACAATGTCGTAGGTGAAATAGCAAGAATATGCCAGGGGTGCTGAGCTGAGAGCACTTGAAAAGCGAGGCCCATTCTGCACTGGTGTTGTGCCTTGATCGTACCTGGCATATGGAGTTGACAGCCTGGCGTTGTGCTTTGGCCTTATCTGCACTGCTCCTGTTGTTGATATTTTCCAAGAAACGCCTTCGCCCACATAGCGTCTGAATGTATCTGCAACACCAGTGGAACGTAAAATCGCGAGTCAACGCAACTTCCTGCCCTGAGGATCACAGCATGTGCAAGATTCCCACATACGTACCCTTTACTTCTGCATTCCTTCACAGCCCTGTCCAGCCATCTGTCCACATCTGGGAACGACTGCAAGAACCTCTTCCTGTACTTGCTAGCTTCTTCCACGCTGCACTCAAGCTGCTGACCCAGTGCGCTGTTCCCCATGCCATACAGCAGACCGTAGCACAGGCGCTTGGTTCGGTCCCGCTCCGCACTGGTCACTTGAGGCTCGGGAGTGCCGGACCAGCAGGCAGCCATGGTGCGGAAGAGGTCTCCGGAAGGGCGGGAAAGGAGCGAGATGAGGGCTGGATCTTTGGAGAAATGAGCCATCAGGCGGACCTCAATCTGAGAATAATCTGCTACTAGGAGAAGCCGAGATGGCTGTACGGGGAGTGGTGGTGCAAGCATGGTCAGGGGTAAGACATCAGAGAGAATGTGAAAGGGAAATGAGAGCACGGAAATGACTGTGGCCTGTGTGTACGGGTCGATGTTTGTGCCAAAGGGACAGAAGATATGACTGCCCAAAAGGTAGGGGAGGATGTTGGCCCAAAGAACAAAGGAGGCGTGACAAAGGTCCTGGAATCACAGGGGTTATCAGCACCTGTGATGGGACGACCACTGCACGTGGGTTGATCTCCAAACGCACTTGCCGCTTGGCTGCACTGCTGCTGCCACCCTCCACAACCCCCACCACGACCGCCTCACACCACCTCCCCTCACTACCCTCATTCCCCACCTTCTTCTCCTCCTCAACTTGCTTCGCACCCTTGTTTGCACCACCCTGCCCACCCCCACTCGTTTCTACCAGTGCCAACTTGAGAGAGTCAGGAAGCAGATCCTCATTTAGAATGAAGCTTGTTGGCTTCTCCATGCACTACAAGATGGCCAGTCGGAAAATCAGAAACAGGGTATAGGGTGAGAAACAAAAAGCAGGGCCGATGGGCAAGCGGGGAGGAAGGGGGAGGTGGTACTTTGTAGTTAAACGAAAGGTTAAGGGTGAGTCAAGGGAACTAAGTTGGCCGATGCAATGAGGAAAAACTCAGCATGGATGAAGGATCAAGAGCAGCAGCCAGCCCACCTGCAAGTTTGGTTCTTCCATGGAAAGACGTCCTGTTGCTGTTGATGTCTGCAGCCACCGACCATGCACTGTGTAGCATGTCCGCCGCTTTCCTTGCTTCCCTCCCATCTCCACATCAAAAGCTCCTCCCTCGATTTCTACCCTGTTGCACTGGTCCGCTCCACAAGCCTGCATTTCCAAGTCGTTGACAAGTTCCCTTGAAAGACCGTGCTGGTCTTTCACTCGGTGCAACAGGGTGTTGATGGTGGCACAGAGCTTGGCTATGCAGCGGTAGTCTTGAATCACCGCCGCAATTGGGTGCTTCGACCTGTAATGCACATAACAGAAATGGGAGGAGAGACGTACAGAAGCAGGACGGACGAAACTTAGAGCTGCTTAATTATGATGAACAATAAGAACAAAACAGAATTGGATAGTGGGGGGCACGTGGGGCCAAGCACTTGTGGCAAAGCATGGGGGCTTGAAGAGGGAAGGAAAGGGGAACATACTTCAGAAACTCCAGAGCTGCTTTGTCGGTTGGGCCCGGCTGTGACTTGGGCCCTTTGGCAACAAAGGTTGGGGGGACTGGAAGAGCGAGGGTCTTGAAGAGTATAATGGCGAGCTCGCTGGGATTAGAAAGCATGAAGGGGCGCCCTGCCATCTCATGCGCCGCTTCCTCCAAAGCAGCCACCTTGGCCCGCAGGACTCTCCTCAGGAGCATGCACTGACGCATGTCCACTCCCACGCCCAGGAGCTCCATAGATGCGACTACAGGGACCTAGTTTATGGGAATAGGGACCAGAGGCACAAGGCCACAGGACAGGGGATGGGGGGTGTGTTGGGAGGGTGGAGGAAGGGAGTAGGGAGGGAGAACGTGGACTGAAAATAAGAGAATTCTAGGGAGAACTGTGGCACGAGGTGCTTCGCTGGGCACTGGGGAAAGGAGTGGGATATGCTGGAGAAGCAAGTGACAGGGGCAAGTCAGGTCAAAGAGGCAGAAAAGCCAGGCCGTACCAGTGGCATCTCGTTTTGCATGAGAGGCTCCTCCAAGCACTGGGAGAATAGGCGCTTCCACAGCACATCACAGAGCTCCCGAACTTGTGCGGCTCGTCTGCAGCAGCCATCCCGTGCTGCCCGGCCCAGCTGAGCCTGCCACCTCCCTGCTCGCTGTGCCCTGGCTGCTGCTTCTGCAGGGAGCGTGCTGGCCACTGCCTGTATATGCATGCATGGGTAGGCAACAGCAAACAGCAGCATCGATTGGGGAGTTTGGTGGGTTTGGCTTCAAGAGGTTTAGGGTTTAGGGTTGAGCGGAAGGGGGGAGCTTGAGCATCTGGATGGCACGTGTTTGGAAGAAGGAGAAGGGCGGAATCACAAAGCATGAGGTGTTGAGAACAGAAGAAGGTTGGAACACAAAGGAAGAAAACTCATGGCACTAAAGCACAGGGGTGTCAATGGACAGACCTCTTCAATGGTCTTCTCTTTATTGCTCTCGCCGTCCGGATCAAGAGCCCATGCCAGCAGACGCATATCAAGAATCGGGCCTGCAACATATGCTGCTGGGAGCGGCTGCAGTACCCATGCTTGCCGCACTTCTCCCTGCACTATCCCACCCCCAGCCCCTGCTCCTCGTGCTGCTTTCGACTGTAACCAGCTCTTCCCTCCTTGCTGCTGCATCTGATCTAGCCGCAGCTGCCCATCCCCCCAGCTTCCATGCAATCCCCCTTGCTTCTGCACCCCCGATTCATTCGCTAACTCGTTCACCCCACACTGCCCCGCCACTCCTTGGCCCAAAGTCGTCAACTGCAGAGGGAGGAGCTCTGGAGGGCAGCGTATGGCTGGGCATGAGAGCACCATAAGAGCTACCTTCGCATCCCAGAAGACCTTCTTCTGGCCCTGCTGTGCCAGCATCTGGCGAACCTTGTTCCACCGGTCAACCACTGAACGCCACCATGTCAACTTGTCATCCTCCTCCTCCTCCCCAGCTCCAGCATCCCGTACCTCCTTTCCTTGTTTCACAAGCTCTTCAGGCTCTACTCTTGTTGCCGCTCTCGAGTCCCTTTTCTGCTGATTAACCCTGGGGAGCACCACCAGCGCCAGGTAGAAGACGGGGGAGCCTTTCCAGCACACTGAAACCCCTTCTAGCTCCACTGGCCTCTGTCCGTATCCATTTTTGTAATCCCCAGCTGTATGCAGGTCTATACAGTACTCGCTCTGCTCCTCCCACTGGCGTATAAACTGGGATAAGCCACCAGGAAGTGAGTGCACGTCCAGAGGACCATCTCTGGGCATGCAAGCGCCAGTGGATGGAGCATGATGCTGAGCGTGAGAGGTGGTTTGAAGATGATTACTCTGGGGAGGATGCGAGGAAGGTTGACGGTTCCATTGATGCTGCTGCTGCGGTTGTTGCTGCTGCTCATGATGGTGATGCTGTTGGTGGGAAGTAGGTTGAGGATGACTAAATGCCACATTACTTGAGGAGGGTCCTGTGGTTTGGCCGTTAGAGCCACGGCTACAAGGCACCAATGTTCCAGCGCCAAAACCTCCCGCTCTTCCAGCAGATTCCCCAGAGAACAGCCGGGCATGCGCTTGTGCTGTCTCAGGAGGAGCAGGCATTGGAGGTGCTGCCTCTCGTGTTACACCAGCAGACGGCACACAGCTCACCACAGCAGCTGCAGTGGCACAAGTTAGTTCGGTTCTGGCAGCAGCTACACTTGGTCTTGTCGCATTGGTCAAGCCAGGAGTCTCCCGATGACCAGCTAAAGCACAGGCCACAGCATTGTCCACTGTGCGAACGAGCTGCGTTGCTGTTAGGCTTGTTCCCCATGGGTCCGCTCCTGGGGAAAACACGTGCTCCGCCTTTGCTGCAACTCCATTCGCAGCACCAGCAGAAGCAGCAGCAGGCGTAACAGGTAAACTGCCAACATTGGCACCAGCACCAGCACCAGCAGATGCAGCAGCAGCAGGAGGAAGAGGAGGAACAGGAGCAGCTGAAAAAGCAGGAGCAGCCAGAACAGCAGGAGCAGCCAGAACAGCAGGAGCAGCCGGAACAGCTGGTGCAGCAGGAGCATCCGCCTCTCCAGACTGAACTTGATCCTTGTCTTCAGCAGCTTCTTCTTGTGTGAGCACATCCACAGCGAATTCAATGTCCTCCATGGTCTCATCTGGCGACTCCTCCATACCTGCTGCTGGATAATTGTCATCAGCACGGTTCACGGGAGCAGCAGCCCCACCAGCAACAGCACCATCACCACCACCACCACCACCACCACCACCACCACCACCACCACCACCATCATCACCGCCACCACCCACTGTCTCTTGCCCATCCCTGCTTCGCAGTGCGTCTGCTGCCTGTGCTGTTTCTGTTCTGGCTGCATCTGGTGCTGCAGCTGCTGGTGCGGATGAATCATCCAGGGAAAGGAAGGTGTGCAAAGCCTTATCCAGTCCCGCTGGAATTTTCATTCCCAGTGATCGCATCTTGGTAAACATCTGTATCCGCTCCTCCTCTGCCTTCTCCAACAGCACCTTTCGAGCGCCTGGAAATGGAACAAAGGGTATATGCATGTCAAACTTTCTTGAAGTGTAGAAGACAAAAGGATGAGCGGAAACAGAAAACAGATAGGTTATTGTAGTGCACAGTGATGCAAACTCACCGCTGCGAATCTTCCCTGCAATCATTGCTTGAGCACGCGCTGTTGCAGCCTTGCCTGTGGAGATGTCAAGAGATGGAACGACCGCCACAGAAGCATGCATGCTTGGTGAGAAAATCGACTGTCAAATGATGCAGAAAGAAAGAAGGTGTTGACTGTTTGAGTCGAGCACACATACCTCCCCATGAGAAGTCAGAGAGAGCTTTTGCGATCTCAGCAGCAGAGGCCTCTGCCACAGCCTCCGTGGTCCGCAAACCTGCCTTGTACAGGGCACGGGCACGTGCAGCCTGATGGGGGTGTTAGCAGAGAGCACAGAGGAGGACAAACAGCAGTCAGCCAGAAATATGTTCCCATCTAATTGGCGGGAAAATCAAACGAGAAACACACAAGAAATGGACGACGGAAAATGATACAGCCACAGCAGGACGTAAATGTGAAGGGATCTGCTTACAGAGCAACAAACTTTTCATAAGCTAACATAAGCGTTTAGATGAGCTCACCTTCACAAAGGGAATTTCTGTGAGCTCCACAATCTCTGAGCGCACGCCAAAGTACACGCGATGCTGGAAATTGGAGAGCAGAGCTTGCATGTCTGCGTACTTTAGGCGCTCGCAGAACGAAGTGACCATGGAGGCAAAACGGCCGGCGTTATCCTGCAGCTGTTGAACCTGCCCTCTGTTCACACTGAACCTGTCACACACTTCTCCGATAGGCACCTCCTGCAAGATTACCAGTCAAGAATGAGAGCCGGAAGGAATAAAACCCATGAACTGGATGCGTTGCAACCCGATCTGGATTTAGTTTGCATCCTCACCTGTACAATTTGGGACAGGACAAGGGCTGAGAAGAACCGCCTGCAGACGCGCTCGGTTTCCGACACACTATTGATCGGCACACTGCCCTTTGGAGAGTCTGCCACTTCATTCCTTCCCTTGCGACTGCAGCGCCCCATGTAGGTGCGGGCACTGCCATGTGCCTTGCTGGCGAGAAAGGCTTCTGTCACCCCCACGTTCTTGGCAACCCTTTGGTCGATCTCTGAGAGCCGAAGGTATTCCTGGTAGAAGATCTTCCAGTCAGGTTCAATCATTGTGGCGATCGGGGTCACCTGCAGAAGAAAGGAGGAGGAGAAATAAGCAGCAGAAGGCAGAGGAAACGGAAGCACCGATGCAGCAAACCAAGAGCAAGCGAATGGACGATACACACACTGAAGGAACAAAGAAACGTGCCAGCCAGGGCAGAACTGCGGACGGACCTGGTAACAGTGGTGGAGGTCAGTAGCGAGGAGGCATCCCCAGCATCGAGAACGGTCCAAGTCCTTGAAGACCAGCTGAGACTCCTCAGGAGTCATAGCACTGCAGAAGGCTGCCTGGCCCAGTGGGGTGGGTGACCAGGTCTGCGTTTCATAGTTCCATTCGATCATAGAAGAAGACCGGAGCTGGTTCAAGGATGCCTTAGCTGAGGCACTAACCTGTAATGCATGATAAGTTGTTAGTGAGTGCAGACCGGTAGGTGTGGGAGGGACCAGAGCACAGGCAGTAGGAAGTGAAAGAGCAGAAACAGAAAAAGATGCTGAAGGATTGTCTAGGAGGAATAGAGGCCAGCGACAATTGTTTGCCCGAATGGAGACAAGTGAGATTGCAAGTGTTCCATCCATGACCATGGCTCCAGGGTTTGACAGCAGCAGCACGTTGCTCATGAACAGATAAATACTTGCCTGCTCCATCCACGCAACCCTTTGAGAAGCATTGGTCTGCCAAACAAAGTTCTAGGTGAGAAAAAATCGGAACGTAACATGGCTAGTACTAAGCAGCAGAGGATCGTGAACGCAGAAAGAGGAGACGAAGGTGAAGGGGCAGCCAAAAGGCAATCAAGAAATTTGGTAGGGGAGAGGGGAGATGGAAGTTGGGAAAGCACAGAGAGAGCAGAACAGAGAATCCAATTGAGGATTACCTCCTCAAACGACTTTAGAGTGCTGAGAAGCGTGCAGGAGACATATCGGCCAACATCCACACTTGTCTGCACGATGCCTGCTGCCACTACCTCCAGCAGTGCACGCGACATGCACTTGTACGCCTCGGACAGACATGACGCCAGGGGCTGGCAACCCTGCTGAATCATCTCCTTCACCCACGATACCTCCTTTGGATGACAGATGAGGACCTAAAAGCGAGAACATCGGACAGCAGAAAGTCGCAGAAAGAACAGGGTGTTGAAGGAGAGGAGATCCTTGAGAAAACACATCAGTGTCAAGGCTCACATGCTGAAGCACAGAGAATGTAGACTTACTAGGATGAAACTCAATCAGACAAGGTAAGGAAGGAATCAATAAAGTGGGGGGCAGAGGGGGGCAGGAGGGGAGGCGCAAGTAAGAAGAGGCAGGCTGCCGATCCTCTGTACTTTCCTGGATTTTTCATGCTAATTAGAGCATGAAAGTAGCACTTACACTTTCTCCTTTGTCATCAATCCCTGCTCTCCCAGCTCTACCAGTCATCTGGCGGTAGTGTGTCGCGTCCAGGTTATCCATGCCCATCTTTGGTTCCCTCAGTATCACACGGCGTGCTGGCAGGTTAACACCTGCTGCTAGTGTAGACGTGGCAGTGAGCACTCTCACAATGCCACGGCGATAGCTGTGCTCAATTATTTCCCTCTCCTCCGTCTGCAAAGCATGACATAGATTGATAGAGGACAGAAACAGAATGAATGGAGGGTGCAAGGGAGGGAGGGAGGAAGACGTGTGGAAATTACGACCTATTCACAGATGAACGAGAGCTCGTATAACACTGCTGGGTCAGGGACACTCTTCAACAAATGCCAGGTCCTAAAAGAAGAGGCTCACCGTCAGCCCAGCATGGTGATAAGCCACGCCGGCAGGGATGGACTGAGCAAGAACCGGGTCAAGACCAGAGGGAATGCGCTTCAGGGCCTCCAAAACATCCTCTGGAGTGGAGATTGTGTCGTCTGGTTCTGATCCGCGGTTAACAGGTCTGAAAGGAGGCAGGAGCTTAGCGACATGGAGTGCCGTCTTTTGGCAGTGGGAGCGACCTGAGCAGAAGATCAGCACCGAGTGTCCCTCACTCAGAACCTGGATCGAAAGAAGGAATTGGAACAGAAGATTGAATTTTTTAGTAAGGGATGCGGAAGAATCGCAGGGAAGAACGTTATGACACTGAGTAGATTGTACAAGTAAATAGGTAACAACTCACCTCATTACACAGAAAGACTAAGTTATCTTTGTCATCTGGGTTCGGTGGCACAGTGCGACAGGGGTTCATGAAGGTATCGTATATCGTGTTCCCCACTTTGATGAACTCTTGCAGGGGAACTGGCCGAAAGTCAGTCTCATAGAGCACAGCCTGAAACCACAGCACACACAAGTACATGATTAGGCCTTAGTATCATACATCAGATCAGAAGGAAAGCTCATGGGGACGTGAATGACAGGCTTTAAGAGAGTATGACCAAAACAGGGGAGATGAGCTGTGAGATAAACACTTACGTTCAACCACTTTGCAATGGCAAAAGTGTTTCGCATCGTTGCACTCATCCCCACAATCTGCAACCCTTCCCCCTCCGTCTTGCCACTGCTTCCCCAGCCAGCTCCTGTAGAGGGGCTTCCTCGATCACCACCTTTTGCTGGTCTTACACTACCAGCAGCATCAGCTGCAAGAGGCTTTGTCGTGGCCCTTTTGGCAGCATCAGGAGGAGAGCTTTTGCCAGCGGATGACGAGCCCAGGCCTGCAGCATACCGCAGCTTGGTCAGGAGTAGCTCAAGCAGGTAACCCCTTGCAGGATCTCCAACCTGGGAATGATTCGGAATGGCAAATGCATTTGTGAGTCGGCTTGTAGATGGACTGGCGCATGTACGCATGCAAACCTGCATGTCTGAAGCAGGGCACCAAACCAGCAAGCAAAGCCTAACAAGAAGAGAGCAAGGCTTTACCATGTGAAGCTCATCCACGACCACCATTGCCACTTCTCCCAGTCGCCCTTCCTCCAGAAGCCGGTTCACAAGAGCATTGGCCTTCTCGATAGTGCACACAGCCAGATTTGTATCCGGAGGGAGCACTGATCCTCCCTGTGCACCAAAGAAATTGCGCACCCGATAGCCCAAAGGTTCCAACACCGCCTCCATATGTTCTGCCTGCCAAAAGTAGCGAATAAATGTGCACATAAGTCTAAACTTCTTTCTGAGGATGAAATGCTACTCTTAGAGACAAAGAGTCTTGACCTTATCCCCAAATACCTTTTCAGCACATATGGAGACATATGGCAACACCAGCAATGCCTTCCTTCCAGTCGCGATCAGCCTCCTCACCAGCAGCACCTCTGCAACAAGACTCTTCCCAGCACTGCAAGTCGAGGAGTATGGAAATCAGTATAGAAGCATACAAAATAAGACAAATAAACTCTGGAAACAACACCTTGTCGATGCGCTGTAGACCAGATTCTGCCCATGAAGCACACGTTCTTTTGACAAGCACTCCACCTGAAACAGAATTGCAGAACTGGTTAATCACAGTCAAACCATCACAGATGAAAGTCCGCCAATTTTATGATCATACCTGCCACGGATACATCTTGGTAACTCCTTTGCGAGCATATGCCTTGCATGCTGGGGAAGGGAGCCATGCTGAGAGTTGCAGGTCAGCAGTGGCCGCAGACGACCCGGGGGAGCCAGATCCCTTTAGCAAACCCTTCTCTACTGGCTGCTCCATCAATGCTTTCCCATTATCTTCATGTGGGGCAACATCAGGCTCCAGTTTCTTCGACACTTTGAGGCTCTTTTCTCCTTCTGAACGACCAGCTGCTGTACCTTTCGGCAGTGGACGAGGAGGTTTCTCCGCACTGAAGTCCAGGTACCGAACCGGAAGAGGATCCAGGGATCCCGGAGACAAAGGCCTTGGTGCTGGTGGTATGGCTTCCGTTCGTTGGCGGAACCTTGGGCTTCCAAAACCACCCAAGACTCCCCTTGTTCTCGTTCCGCAGCTTGCACTGCCCTTGTCATTCGCTACTGGCTGGTCTTGTGCAACACAACCTTCTCTCGGAACATCCAAACCAGAAGCAGCAGCAGCAATAGAAGGAGCCATTCCTGCACTCTCTATATTATCGTGTATCCCTGCTTTGGCTTCCACCATCGCAAATGCTTTTTCCCAGAACGAATCCCCCGGGGAATGGTTCTTGATGCTCCATGGTCGGCTACCTGAAGCAGTGCTGCCAGTCCTGCCACCGTTTCCATTGGCAATCCCTGCGCTTGGCTCGCCTTTCGGAGTAACATAACGCTGATCTTGTGCATCCCGGCTTTCACTAACATCCACTTGACACTTTTGTCCAGAATCAGGCTTGGTGAATGTACCGCCGGTTGGAACGTCGGCTTCAGTCTTCACAATAGCTGTGACATCTTGGAGCGGATTGAGCAGTTCTCTTGTCGTCTGATCATGTCCCTGCACGGGAAGAGTTGTGTTAAAATCCCTAATAGGTATAATTGCATCTGGTGGGGTTACCTCTTCCAGTGCACTCCCGAATGCCCTGTTCACTGAGAGAACCTCAGGAGATGAGCTCTCCTTCCTGATATGCCGTGAATAATCATGCTGTACAGGAACTGTCTCAGTGGTCCCATTGCTGCTAACTTCAGCTCCACCTTCAAGCGTACAAGCTTCCGGCGGAAAATCTTGCAAATTATTGCCTTGAAGACCTCCGATGCCAACTGCAGCAGTTCCTTCTGCAAATACGGGATCGTCATTCAGAGGGGACGAAAGGAATGTTGAAGTTTTGATGCTGTTCGATACTTCCACTTCCATATTTCGAGTGTTTACCACCCTGGTCAACCCACAGAGACTACAGGGATTGTCAATCCCCACCTGGTCCGCTGGCTCGAACGTCAAGGGCTATTGAGGATATAGCTCCAGCAGTCGCATGCGAAGGCCTGCAGTCAAAAAGGAGGTTAGCGAAATGGACGATTCGACTTGGAGGAAAACACCCTGCATATTTCGACTTTGTCCATCTTGGTGTAGACCGTACCTGTAAAACGTATCTGCAATGTCAGCGGGATTTTTATTCGAATTTGCAGGTAAGGTTGAAGCACCCTCATCATCACCTGACAAGGAAGGAATGTAATGAATGAGTTCGCTGAAAAAGCAATGAAAACCAAACAAATCGAAATAAACAGCCGTCAAAACCCATACAAACCAGACGGTAATCGTTCAGCCTGAACCTGAAACAACCCCTGTTTGTCTGCTGGACCGCTTGCCTTCTCCTGTCTTCTAGGTTTCTTGACTGGAAATGCCTGATTGATAGAGATCACGCAGACAGAAGAAAAGTTTTAGCAACAGCACTTACACTTCTCCCGCATACATGAAGAAGGTAGAATTAGGTGTACAATGATCACGAATGCACGGAAACTATCACTAATGGATACCGGCTGACTTCCATGTCTGCGAATTCAGCTCGGGATTTGCAAGCGCGTGCCGTGAATGATGAATGGTTAAAGATACTATACGGCTCGACATATGTTACAAAACCTTCACAAACCTCTTGAAGGGATGTCTGTCGTTTCTGCTTAAGACTAAGAGACACGTCTGGTTGTTCCATGGCCTGCTCGGTTAAACTGTAAAGCTCAAGAACCAGGATAGCGCCTGTCGAAACCGAGCATTTGGAGACTTGAATCCTTGTAGGTCAGAATGCTTGCGTAACAAGGAATGGAGGAACACTCTGACGAAACGAACCGCTTTTGGCGCAAGGCACTTCCGTTCCAGATGCTGGGTGGATCATCGCATCAGCAGTAGCAGGAGTAGCAGCAGGAAGAAGCAAAGTGAGACATCCAGTACCATTGCATGACATAGCGGGGATGGATTGAGATTGACCGCTGAATGTCCGCCGTCCGATGCGTGTCACAACCAATGCCGCGAACCTGAAAATCAAGCCGAACTGTTGGCGGGAGCTAATTTGGTTGGACGAAACATGTCAGCCACATCGCGATGTTACATGTTCTTTAATATCACTACCTCAACTTCGTAACGATAATACCATGTTAGAATCTAACAGCAGAATGCGTTTGATTAGCAGGAGATGAGCACAAGTAGGAACCCTGGAAAGTGTTGTACTCTACAACGTCGTTGTTGCCTAACAAGTCTAATGATATAAACCTAATATGACACAAACCTGTCTAGAATGAAAGCTAGAATGCACATGAAAAAATCTGTAGGACTTCAAAAGTTCATAGCGGACTCATCATAGCACCAAATAGTGTGCTATAAATTGGATCTGGTCCGGAGCGTCTTGAACATCTTTTAAATCTGGAGAGTTGAATCATCCACCCCAACAAATATCGGTATGCAGGTTCTCGTTTTTGTATGCGCTAATTAAGCAAACGTAAAAGGAAAAGCGGCCAAAGCTAACTACCGGTAGAAGCAGACAAAGTGAGCTGAACAGAAACAGCCACAGTGAGCCAGCCAGAAGCAGCCATGGTGAGGAAACCTAAACTACTACTTCACTTTCTTCACCTTCCCGCAGAGTTCAGCAATAGTGCCGCCAGCCTGACCAACTATTAGGTAATCACCAAAGGAGATTGCCAACCCAACCAAGCCACGGGCATCAGCCAGAGTCCCCGGCCCATACTTGGTCAATTGCTTGAAGCTGTAGCGCTTGCGCTTGCTGTTCTTACTGGTAATGTTCACCCAAGTGGCTCCGCCTGCCACCAGAGAGAAACTAGTGCAGGACTTGGCGACGGTTGTGACAGGAGCCTGTCCACCAGATTTGATGTTAAATACTTTCATATTAACTATGGCGTAGTACACAGTTTCAGAGTACCTGCGAACATGACATTAAGGGAGATGGTGGGTCAAGACGGGGGATGGCGAGCAGAGCAAGGCCACCCATTAAAGAGGGCAAAAGCTTGGGGTACATCACGGCGATAAGAACTGCTTGTAGTAGCAGTAGAGAAAATGTGGAAAGGACGCACTAGACGATCTTTAATGAAGCTTTTCCCCATGCCCCTTTGTCGCCAAGCACTTTGCCATTGACCTTAGTAGGACGAAGCTTGTACGCCCATTTCTCTTTACAACGTGAATGGCAGGGATGGGGAGGGACGGGGAAGGACAAGAGGTGAGGAGTAGAACGGGTAGTACTACTACTACAAGCACATATGCATGGCATGCGATGACTTCCTGTCGGATTGAGACCTTCTGAGTGACTTGGGATGTATGTTAGTCGTCGTTCGTAAACATGACACTGTGGAAGGGAGAGATGCAGAAACATGACACTGTGGAACGCGGCAATGCAACACGCGGTAGTAGAACACTACTTATAATAATGATGAAACCATGATGGCTGAACTGCCGCAGTTCAGAATGAGCCGCAAAAACAATGGTTAGGGTGGCCGCAATTCGGTGTCCCTTGTCGTGATAGTAGGTATACTGAGGAGCCATAGCTAGGGTTGACCTAGCTAGGCAAGAGAGAATGAAGCAAAGAGGGTTTGCACTAGCAACAATGGTGGTACAAATAGCTAACCCTAGAAGGGTTGTACTCGCTATAGAGCACCCCACTGCAGGCTAGAGCATAATATTCTGACACACCCCCATAGTCAAAGTGGGGTGTAATCAGCAGAGCAAGCAAAGCAGTACAAGCTCAGGGTGGATCACGATGTCACCACACATTCTGAGCACAAGCAAGAAGCAATAGTTTAAGGTTCAAATTATGAGCAAAGCTAGAGGCAGTCACAGGGGGCAAGTGAGGAGGAGGAGGGCTGGCGAGAGGAGAGTAGATAGGAGGCGACGACTGAAGATGCAGACACACGGGCAACAGACGGCTCTGGTGCGACAACGTGGCTACCGGGAATGAGTGCCCCGGAGTACAGGAGTAACAGGCTCCGCGGCTAATATGCTCGGCAGGAGCAACGGACCCACAGGCGACGGCGCAACCGGCTCTCTGAGCTACCGGGAATGAGTGCCCCGGAGTTTAGGCGCTGCGTATGACACGACGGCAACCTCCGCTCAACCTCCCCCAACAGTCCCACACCCCTCGACACACACCCTCTGCTTCAAACCCTAGCTAGCTCCACTCCCACGGTACCCCCCTTAAACCCCAAACCCTAGGCTCCCACACACCACCCCCCTCAGCGGCAGCTGTAGCAGAGGGAGACTAGGGAGGAGGAGGAGCAGGGGGAGGAACTCACAACCGACACCCCCATAGTCGCCACCCTTACACTCCTCACCCCCAAACCCTAAAACGGGCGGAACGGGGGAAGGAGCGCGGGGGACGGCGAGGGGGACGGCGCACGGCCCCCAGGACGCCACCACGGGGCAGCGAGGGGCCGCGCGCGGCTCCTTAGGGCGCCGCGAAGGGGCAGCGGGGGGTCGCGCGCGGCTCCCCAGGGCGGCGCGACGGGAAATCGGGGGCCGCGCGCGGCTCCCTAGGGCGTCGCGGCCGTCGACGGGGCAGCGAGGGGTCGCGCGCGGCTCCCCAGGGCGGCACGACGGCGAATCGGGGTAGCGGGGGGCCGAGCGCGGCTCCCCAGGGCGGCGCGACGGGAAATCGGGGCCGCGGGGGGTCGCGCGCGGCTCCCCAGGACGTCGCAACGGAAAGGGCGGGAGCGCGCGGGGTCCCCCACGGTAGGAAACCGCCGCGCGCCTCGGGGCGCACGGCGGGGAGAAAACCGCCGCACGCCCCGAGCGCGCGGCGGGATGAAAAATCCGTCGCACGCCACGGGGCGTGCGACACAGACAGTAGTAGGAGCAGCGGAAGACTGAGGTGGTGGGGCCCACCCACAGGATCGACCCAACAGGATCGTCCTGCTCTGATAGCATGTTGTGATAGTAGGTATACTGAGGAGCCATAGCTAGGGTTGACCTAGCTAGGCAAGAGAGAATGAAGCAAAAAGGGTTTGCACTAGCAACAATGGTGGTACAAATAGCTAACCCTAGAAGGGTTGTACTCGCTATAGAGCACCCCACTGCAGGCTAGAGCATAATATTCTGACATCCCTGAGCCTAGAACCGCGCTGCAGCCAAGGCACGGCTCTTTGTATAACACCTCGCTACCCCACTGGGTCAAAACGAGGGTGTTATTTGGCGCAGCGGAATGCCCATTAACACTCAGCCCACAGGCGTTACACTCGTCCCCCCCTGGTGTCAACGTCCTCGTTGACGAACTTCAGGGAGTCGGCCCCCGCAGGGACCTATTCGTTGTGCCCCAAACAGCGACTTCGCTGGTGGACCAGGCCAGCGGAGGATCGTTCGCTGTGTTCAATCTGGTAACCACATTCAACTTCTCGCTTCAGGCGGAAAATGTGGATCAGCCAGGATTTGAACCCTAGGCTCTGAAACCAGTATAACACCTCGCTACCCACTGGGTCAAAACGAGGGTGTTATTTGGCGCAGCGGAATGCCCATTAACACTCAGCCCACAGGCGTTATACTTTGAGAGTTCAAAGCGCTGCCAGCAGACACTTACCCAATACCTTGGGCTTTGTTGCCAAGGGTATGCTGCCACCTTGCGGCTCAGCGGCGGACACCGCGGCTGAAACGCCGCTGCCGTCGGGAATAAATGGCGGGAAAACTGACGCGGTGACACTAAAGAGCGACGTCGCACCTGCCAAGCAAGGAGAGCGCGAAAAGGGGCATTGCGGGGGTCATGAGAGCCGCCGCGGTCCGCGTAGTCAGCAAAAGGTGGCGCGAGTAGTACTAGAGTTGAATTAATAGTAGTAGTTGAACCCTGAGTATAGAGGTTTTCAGTATAACCCAAAAAGGTAGTGCTACTACAACTACTACTCTTGTGCTTACAGAGCAAGCAGAAGAAGAGAGGCGTCGCGCGCTTCATTGGTACCCGTAGCCGTAGTACTCGTTCAACGAGTTTTTGAAGTTCTTGAAAAACTCTGCTTGGAAACAAAAACATGGCGATTCTCTCTGAAGTAAGAATCCTGCCGCTGATGGGGAAGCATGGCCTTGATCCATATGTGAGTGGTTCAAGGTGTACTACAGAACCTGGAACGTGAGTCTGTAAGGCTGAGCTAGGGGGCTTGGTTTGGGAGATGTGGCCCCGTTCGAGGCGCGAGCGCCACAGTTCACCGAACTCTTCAGCACTGCCTGGTAGTCAAGTTCACCGAGTGAAAATGTAGAGAGTACAGTAGAGGGATCATTTGAGGGGGTAGGGAGGGAGAAGTGCCTCCGGTCTTTACCCACAGTCGCAACTCAACACCACCAACTCCACTTGAGGGTTTAGTTCGCGACAGGTTCATGTTTGACGAAAAGATTCAGTTCGCATATCACAGGAATCTTGTTACCAGGAAGTGTGGGTGAGAGAGTTGGATTCGCACGTGACTGTTACTGGGACGTGACTAGTTTCGCATGTGCGGAAAACCGAGCGCTGTCATCATGGCTCATCTCGGTAAAGCGATACTTGTTATTGCGGTAACGACTTAGGAGGAATCTTTCAAAATGCATAACACTAATGTACTTCTAACAATCGGGGTAGAGGAAACCCATTCTCCAACACAAAATGAATTGACCTGGTTTTCAGGCAGATGCTGAACGGTGGAGTAGGCACTGAAACGGTGTAGTGCATAAATACTGAAAGGGATGCACCTGGTCAGATTGTCAGCTGTCAAGTCAGTGAATACAATACAGTACTAATCCTCCACTACCCCCCCTCCCCCACACCTAATCCTGTCCCTCTTCCACTCTCCCATTCCCCAGTACTCCCCTATGCAAGCGCAAATTAAAATGTTTCATTACAGCCCAGCACCAAAGCCCGCGAACGACCCTGCACCATCATCGTCGTCATCATCTTCGTCATCATAAGCATCCTCAAACTCATCACCACCTGAATCATCAGCACCCGCACCGTCATCACCAGCTGTACCCCTCACATACCCGCTCCTCACTCCCCCTTCAGCAACCCTTGACCCCACTCCTCCTCCCATTGCTCCTCCCCCCACTGCTCCTCCTCCTCCTCTCCCCGTTCCTCTCCCCCTCCCTCCATCTCCCCCCACCCCCCTGCCACCTCCTCTTGTTACCCCAGGAGCCTGCTGGGACATGCCCTGTCTTCCCCCTGCCACTGTCACCCCACGCTCCTCCTCCCCCTCCTCATCCTCACTGTCTGAGTAGTCATCAGAATCAATGTCATCTGTATTCCCACCACACATACCACCATCCACTGCTGACCCTCTCTCGTACTGTATCCGCCCCTGCTGCTGTTGCTGTTTCTGTTGCTGCTGCTGCTGCTCCTGCTGCTGCCTCTGTTGCTGCAGCGAATGCTGCTGGTGCGGCGGGTGATGCTGCGAGTTTGAGTGCTGCAGCTGCGGCTGCTGCTCCCCCTCCTCCTCCTCATCCTCCTCCTCCTCCTCCTCCTCCTGCTCCTGCTCCTGCTTCTGCAGAGCCAGCAGCGCTTGCAGCCTCGCTTTCGAAGCAGATATAGTCGAAGCAGGCGGGGAGGCCTCATCAGACGACCCCGAGGAGCAAGACCCGTCTG